TTCTTTCTTTCTTTCTTTCTTTCTTTCTTTCTTTCTTTCTTTCTTTCTATTTTTCTTTCTTTCTTCCTTTCTTTCTTACTTTTTCTTTCTCTCCCATCCTTTTTCTTTCTTGCTCTCTTCTCTCTCTGTGTGTGTGTCTCTCTTTGTCTCTCTCTCTCTCCCCTCTCTGTGTATCTCTCTGTGTGTGTGTGTGTCTCTCTCTCTGCCTCTCTCCCTATCTTCCCCTCTCTCCATCCCCTCTCTCCCTCTCTCTCTCTCTCTCTCTCTCTCTCTCAAAGCCAACTGGGCCAAGCCAGCAAGTTCAGACTGGCTGAACATCCCTTCAAGTGACCCTTCTCCCTCCCTCCCTCCCCCTCCCCTCCTCCTTTCACAACTGGCAGCTACAGTGGAGCCATGTGTGTGTTTGGGGAAGACCCTTGAGCGAGTCCCAAAGCACAGCAAAACCGGGTGTGGGGCGGGCGGCTGCAGCTGGCGATCGTTGTTCAGCCAGTCTGGATTCCAAAACGAAGAAATGAAAGAAGTAGCTAAGAGCACCAAGGAAGGAGAGCTTGCTGGCTTGCCTCAGCCGCGGATTTGAGGGAGGGAGGGAGGAAGAGAGAAACACACACACACACACACACACACAGAGTTGGGGAGGTGTGTGTGTGTGTGCGCTTTACCTTTTAAAATTCTTGATTTTCTTTATCTTTTAAAAATCCTGGTAATGTCCTTCGTTTATGCCCTCTTTTAACAGATTCATAACGTGTTTTGAAGGTGAGGCATGTGATGAATAACACAATTATCCCAAAGCGGGGGGGAGAACATTGGTTTGTTGAGGCTCAACAGGAACTTGAAGACTTAATTTCCTGTTCCCGTCATGCAGCTTTTGCATGGATGAAATTTCTCCTCCTGTTGCGTGGGAGATGGGTTGGGGCTGTGGAAACTGGAAGGGAAATGTTGTTTCTGGAATACTTAACAGTAGTATAGTTTTCTTTTTCATTCTCCCTCCCTCTCTGTTTCTCATCTCTCTCCTCCATGGCAAGAGCAGCGGCGTCAGTCAGTGTCCCGGGAGAAAAGTCACCCCCCCCCAATAGTCCTCTCATCTTGCCTTGAGTAGCCTCACGCATCATCAAACTTAGCACCAAATTTAGCGTGCTTCCCAAATGAGAAGGCGCCATTTGTGAAGTGCGTTAAGTTTAAAGGTACCGCACAGCGCATTCCCCCTCCCCATATTTCCCTTGTCGTGAGCAGGCTCGCGCTGCGTGGCACCTTTAAACTTCGCACATTTTACAAATGAGAAGGGGATTCCAGCGCCATTGTCACCACATCTGTGAAGCGCGCCTTCCCCCCCTTCCATATTTCCCTCACTGCAAGCAACCTTCCCAGCCTCACTTCCCCAAGGGGGAAGTATAGCAGGGGGAGGAAAGGCAAGCTGTTGAGCCCCGGCCCCAGGGCTTGCCTTACCTGTGGGGGGGGGGGGAATGAAGCAACAGCAAGACGGGAATGGCGATAATGGTGCCCAAGGAACACAATGGCAGCGATTCTGGTGACATCGGGACTTCCAGGACCACCTGCCCACCTCGCCGTCTATCAGCTGTTTGTGTGGGCAAGGAGGGGAGGGGCTGATGGGCAGGGGAGGGGCCAGCCAGGGGCGCGATTTGCCGCTTCTCCGAACTGCACAGAATCATAACATCCGGTTCTATAGAACCGGACAGAACTGGTAGAAACCCACCCCTGGAATAGGGTCAATAACATTGAAATCAATCTTCTCAGATGCAGATATGTTCCAGATGTGTTAATTGAAACTTCCATAATTCTTGGAAATTGAAGAACTAGGAGCTGAAGGAGTTGAGAATTGAGAGTTGAGGGACTTTGTTTGGAGAATGCTAATCTAGACAATGAAGCAGTAATGATTTATGTTTTGGATATCAAACGTTATTACCTTCAAATTGTAAGAAGAGAGGTGGCATACCAATATTAGTAAATTAAATAATGCAATAAAATAAATACAAATACAATAATCAGCGTACTGTTATGCTAGAGCATTTCCTGGTGCATTGTGTCTGCAGTAATAAAATATCCACCTCGGCTCTGGCAGGACAAGGTCTCATTTAAAGATTCTCCATTGTTTGCTAAAAAAAGGGAAAGAGACCACACATTTCCTAGGCTTTGTCATCATCCATTTCCTTGGATTCAGAGTAATGAGAATGGTAGTGTTTTGTTTAGACACATTTTTATTCTGCTGACCTGTCTACGTAAATTCATGAAGACTGATGTCTGATCAACCCTATATTATGGTTCTTAAACGAAAATAGTAAATGCATTCACTATACTTAAAAATGTTAAATAGTAAAAATTCAGGAAATGAATCATAAAAGTCAATTTCCTATTTGAATATTTACCTCTATATAATTACAGTAATTTGAAAAGATTTTAAGCTGTTCATTAAATAATAATTTGAAAATAACCAATATCCTTTGTTATTTCTTCTTCACTAATGTGTAATGTCTGTTCCCCTAAGATTATTACAAATTCAGATGATTTTTGTTACAATTTTGAGTTTAGTTCAAAATACAAAATTGTCGGGAAATTCTACAAAAGAATTTATTTGCACCATGGCAATTCCAATCAGGGTTTGCAGTAGAACAGTATGTTTGTGAGAGTTGGATGTCAATTAGCGTTTGAAACTAGTTTTACATAAATGGTGTGACAAACATATTACCCAAACAAATGAAATACAAATTATAGTGTATAACGGTTTGCTTTTGCAAGCCATATTCTTTTGATCTATAAGGGCTTCTGATTCTGTTTCCAGGCCTAGCTCCACCATTTTAAATGAATCCTGCTAATCAAATTTCCCTGTAACATCATTATAAAAAGTTCTCTTTTTATAATGGTTCCTGGTTCCTGTTAGGATTACTGTTATTGTTTTAGCAATCATGTGTTACATTATGTAATAAGGTGAAAAATAAAATTTAAAACGAAAACTAAACAGATAAAATTGGGTCTTTCTGTGGCAGAATTTGCTATTGACAAAGATGTTCACATTTTCTTATAGACCAATTTCCAACTTTATCTCAGAATGGATCTTGCAGGCCAACCCAATATCCTCATGTGGACCTATCTCCCATTCTGTCTACTGGAGACTCCGATTTAGCTAGTCCTTTATTACAGACTAATGTTCACATTGACATCAATGCCTTAAATCCAGATCTGGTCAAAGAAGTTGAGCATGTTGTTATTGGTGCTGATAATATGATCGTTCACTTCAGTGAAGTAATAGGAAGAGGTAGGTGTCTCAACGGTATTTTATATTTACACATTTAATTTCAAAAATTTGGCTTTATCCCTGTTTATGTTGGAATGCTGAATCATTCAATCTTACACAATTTTATCTGAAAATAAATTGGGGACTTACCAAAAAAATCATTTAATGCATCAGAGAGTATAGCACAGTTGAGAAAGTCCAGAAATATTTCACAAGAAGAGTTCTCCACTCCTCTAGACCTAGAAAACCTAGAACTACGCCGCCTTCAGTCTGATCTAAGTATAGTATATAAAATCATACATTGCAATGTCCTACCTGCAAATGAATACTTCAGCTTCAATCATAACAATACAAGAGCACACAATAGATACACACTCAAGGTTAACCGCACTTGACTGTAGAAAATACGACTTCAGCAACAGAGTGGTCAATGTTTAGAATACTCTACCTGGTTTCTTCCCCAAACCCCAAATATTTAACCTTAGACTGTCTACTATGGACTTCACCCCTTTCCTAAGAGGTCTGTAGGGGGCATGCATAAGCGCACCAACGTGCCTACCGTCCCTGTCCTATTATTTCTTTTATTTTTCTTATACGTACCCATTTCATGTATTCATAACTATGTATATACTTATACCTATTATCTTGTAAGCAATTGACAAATGAAATAAATAAATAAATAAAATTAAATAAATTAAATAAATAAATAAAATAAAGTATATCCAGCATCAGAAACTGCTTATTTGCACATAGGAAAAACTTCAAGGTGTTGTATTTCTAAGGTTAGGGAAGTCTCTACTGTAAACTTCCAAAGGAAAATGTGCCAAGGGCAGAGAGATGGATCTGGTAGATTTAGATTTAGTATGTTTCTGTCTCCAGCAGAACTTATGAAATATCAGAGCTATCAGTTAGAAAAATCATTGTTTTATCATTCTTTTATCATTTTTGGCTGTGTCGCTGCATTGCTCTACGCAACTCAGAATGATTTCTGAAAGAATCCAGGAAAAGTTTTTTTCTCTCAGGACTGGATCACCCCTCAAAATATACAGACAGGCCCAGAGAAACCAGTGGAAATTGATTTATTTATTTTTTATTTATTTATTTGATTTGCCAATTGTTTACAAGATAATAAGTATAAGAGTATACATAGTTGTGAATACATGAAATGGGTACATATATGAAAAATAAAAGAATAAGAGAAACAATAGGACAGGGACGGTAGGCACGTTGGTGCGCTTATGCACGCCCCCTACAGACCTCTTAGGAAAGGGGTGAGGTCAATAGTAGACAGTCTAAGGTTAAAGTTTTTGGGGTTTGGGGAAGAGACTACAGAGTCGGGTAGAGTATTCCAGACATTGACCACTCTATTGCTGAAGTCGTATTTCCTGCAATCAAGTTTGGTGCGGTTTACTTTGAGTTTGTATCTATTGTGTGCTCTTGTGTTGTTATGGTTGAAGCTGAAGTATTCACTGACAGGTAGGACATTGCAATGTATGATTTTATATACCATGCTTAAGTCAGACCGAAGACGGCGTAATTCAAGGTTTTCTAGTTCTAGAATTTCAAGTCTGGTGGCATAAGGTATTCTACAACGAGTAGAGGAGTGGAGAACTCTTCTTGTGAAATATTTCTGGACTTTCTCAATTGTGCTAATATCAGATACGTAATGTGGATTCCAGACTGATGAACTGTATTCGAGTATTGGTCTAGCAAATGTTTTGTATGCTCTGGTTAGTAGTGTGATATTACCAGAGAAAAAGCTACGTAGGATTAGGTTAACAACTCGTAATGCCTTTTTGGCTATGTAGTTGCAGTGGGCTCTAGCACTTAGATCATTAGAGGTGAGTATTCCAAGGTCCTTTACAGAGCTTGGGTCATCAACAAGTTCTTGATTATTCAGCTTGTATTTTATTTTCTGATTTTTTTTGCCAATATGTAAGACAGAGCATTTATTTGTTGAGATTTGAAGGTGCCACTTGTTTGACCATTCTGATACATAGTCGAGGTCTTTTTGAAGGATAGCAGTATTGTCTGTGGTATTGAACAGCTTTACATCATCAGCGAAGAGAACGCAATTGCTCTTAATATGATCACAGAGGTCGTTTATGTAAATTTGACTTGTGATGATATCCTCTCTTTATAGGGCATTTTGGATGTGTTTATCATGGAACTTTATTGGATACTGATGGCAAGAAAATTCATTGTGCTGTGAAATCCTTGAACAGTGAGTCCTGTAATATTTTATTCTGAGTCATTGTATTTTCACTGACTAAACTATATTAGTTGAGCCATGATTATTTTTATCGTTAAGTGTCTTTGTGTAGCTTGAAGAAATTTTATTCCATACATCTTACAATGTCCATATGGAAGAGTACTTGTATTTTCCATCCACATAATAAATAAAAGATTAAAGGAAAGAAGGAAAAAACGTGGTTTCAGTTTACCATTGGAGTAGCTTATGTTCAATTTGTATGAGTGAGACAGTTGGAAAACAGCAGGACTTAATTGGCACACACTATTAATAACATTCTTCTAGTTCGACAGATGGAACATTTCTATATATTGTTACTAATATGTGAAAAAGGAAGAGAAAGGAGTTCTGGAATTATGCGTGCTAAAATTAGTTAAATATATTCCAGATAACACTCTTCCAGCTCATTTGCTTATAGATATGCAGCATCTAGCCCTGCAAATACCTGTATATATTAAGTATTTGAGAATACTTAACTATCTAAATTTCCATGTGTTTTATTACCACTTTATTGGGAATATAAAGGAATAATACTTAGGACCTATATTTGTTCTTTTCATTGAAATTGTAGAAAGTATATTAGAAATGATGTGTATCTTTATTAAAAAATTTGTTGCTACATTTTTCAGGAATTACAGATTTGGATGAAGTAGCTCAGTTCTTAAAAGAAGGAATTATAATGAAGGATTTCACTCATCCCAATGTCCTTTCATTACTTGGAATTTGCTTGCCTAATGAAGGTTCTCCTTTGGTGGTGCTTCCCTATATGAAACATGGAGATCTTCGAAACTTCATTAGAAATGAATCTCATGTATGTGTATTATGGGAAGTTCAGTAGTGATCCAATTAGACAATTACGTATTATTACAGTTCTGTTGTCTGAAAGCATAAATTGATGGATCAATTGTTACTTTGAAATATGGTATTTTCAATCAGAATTTAATGAAGCTGCATTAAACATTTTAAGTAAAAATAATTGATTGTTGAAAAGTATAATATAAAAAATATCTGAATCAAAGGATTTATGTATAGGGTTTATTTTATTTTATTTTTTATTTATTAAAATTTTAAGCCACCGATCTGCCCTATAAAGTGACTCTGGGTGGGTGTTTGGGCCTGGATGTTCAGAGTTCTTGTCTGGAGAAGTGTAAAGAATCTGAATTTTTGTTCTTTGATGCCTTGTACATTGCCTATAGATTTACTGTTGAAGTTGGAGGGAGATGGAGTATAAAGATTTTCAAAAATGTTTTTTTAAAGCAATATGCCATGCCCGGCCCTTTCCCGGTAAACTTGGGAAAACTCTGTCATCATTGAGAGTTGCTGTAGTTTTTATCTGATTCCAGTAGTTTCCTATTTATCCTTGCCATAGGCGATTCTTTACAATTAAAATAAATAAATTATAAAAATTACAGTACAAACATTTTGTTGTTTATGTAAACTAATAATTAATGTTCACCTTAGTTTTGAAAGAAATATATCAATATTTTAACCTTTAGATTTTACAGGTAGTTTTAGAATAGAATAGAGATGGAAGGGACCTTGGAGGTCTTCTAGTCCAGCCCCCTGCTCAAGCAGGAGAACCTATACCATTTCAGACAAGTGGCTGGCTGGTCTCTTAAAAACCTCCAGTGATGGAACTTTTGTGATTTCTGGTGGCAAGCTGTTCCACTGGTTAATTGTCCTCGCCATTAGGAAGTTTCTCCTTAATTCCAGGTTCTCTCCTTGGTTAGTTTCCAACTATTGTTTCTTTATTTTACTTATTAGTAAGCTCTAAAAAGTTGCTAAAAAACTTGCTCTGCAAGTTAAGATAACAAACTCATGCACATTCAATTACAATTTTTAACAATTCTTTAATAAAATCTTCCTTCTTAGTATATAGTATGTATATAAAATCATTGTGTTAATAACATAACAAAACAGTAATCTAAAACTTAGATAGGTTATCGCATATTTCAACAGTTCTAGAGATCAGCTAATTTCATCTAGATACTTGCTATACGATCAATGAATACTTAAATTTATTCACTATTTTGTTTCTTTGGTTACTAATGCAACTTTGGGTTCAGGAAAACCATGTTTGAATGTAGAGCCTTTCAGTATTAAAGTGAAGACTAAGATTGATTTCATCAATTGTAATTGTATATATTTATAACTGAAAGTCATTCTTCACAGCATTGTTTTAGCTACTAATATGTTCATGATTTTCAGAATCCAACAGTGAAGGATCTGATTGGATTTGGTCTGCAAGTAGCAAAAGGGATGAAATATCTTGCAAGCAAAAAGTTTGTCCATAGAGATTTAGCAGCAAGAAATTGTATGTAAGTACGGATTAACTTTTTCCCCATATTATTTTATAGCCAGTTTGGAACAGTGTTTAAGGCATCAGGATAGAAGCCAGGCAATTGTTTATTTTAGTCTCGCCCTAGTGATGTAAGCCAGCTGACTGATTCTGAGCCAGTCACTCTCTCAGCTCAGCTCAGCTCACCTCATGGGGCAGTTAAAAGGACAAGGGAAGATTAGATTTGTTCACTGCCTTGAGTTATTTATTTTAAAAAATGAGGGTGGGATAAAAATAAATAGTGGCATTTGGAGAAAAAAGATCATTCCATTTTACTATTTTATTTCTTATTTCTGTCATCTATGTTTTTAATATGAAACTTAGAACTTTCTCTATATTAATGTTCCTAGATAAGTGTTTCTCAGGTTTTGCAAGTTTTAAGATGTGCGGACTTTCAGCTCCAGGAATTCTCCAATGAGCATGAGTCTGGAAGATTTTTAATCTTAAAAGTTACAAGAAGGAGAAACATTGCTACAGGTGTTCACAACTGCTGAATATCGCTCAGGGAGTTGCATCACTTATGTGGTATAGCAAACACCATTACATTCAATTTTGCTTACTCTTAAGAATAGAGCAGCGGTGTCTAACTCACAGCATCACAGCGATGTCATGTGACATATTGGGATTTTTTTTCCCCCTTCGCTAAACCAGCGAATTCTCTGATACAGAGAATTAGAATGCTAAAAGGTTTTTTTCTTTCTGTGCAGGATTCTGAGGTTGAAATAGTTCTGCTTTGAGGAGAGCATCCTTTCAGTAAATCAATATTCAGTGTTGGTTTTCTCTGAGAAAGCATGTTTCCAGTTGCATTTTTACAGGTTTTCTTAATTCTTGAAATATCATTTGATTATATCACAATGACATGCTTAATGTTAACATACCTACAATACCCTTGATGTTATTTTCTTTCAAGACAAGCAATATTTTGAAAAGCACAGAAATAGAGTAAGCCAAAGAAACTGAAAGAAATAAATAAGAGAAAAGATTAAACAAAGAAAATTTAATTTGCATCAACACCATTTCCTCTTACACCTTTTTTTTTTCTTCATTCCATCATACCCATTCCAATTAATATAGTTCCTTTTCTTCTTTAAACATCTTACCTTTTTTTTTAGAACCTTGTAATCTCCATTCTTTTCCTCCGTTTCTTTTTTTTCCATATAATTTTTCATTAGTTTTTCAAAATATAAAATACTAAGAAACATAAAAAAGTAATGAAAAACTAAGAAGAGGGGGAGGGAAAAGAAAAGAAATATAATGTAAAGGGAGAAAAGGAAAGAAAAAAGACCTGGCTCAAAACCTATTTGATTGTTGCCTGTATAAGAACATGAGTGACAGGTACCTTGGTTTATATTCCAAATGAATGACCCATTGGGATCCCCATATCACAACAACTTATCCTATGTGTGGCCAGAATCTGAAAATAACAACATTTAACACAGCACAGTACTTAAGCAAAATTGTTTGGTTGAGATCTGCATACATGGGACTGATTTGGTTAGATTGTAAGGGGTGACACCAAAATATAATTTTATCACATTTTATCTATATCTTAAATTATTGTATTTTAATTTAATTTTAATTCATATTTTATTCCAATTTCATTTTAAATCATATTTTATCCAATTACATTTTAAATTGCTTTTTATCAAATTTTGATAATAATTTGTTTCTGGAACTCTGCACTTTGATATGTCTCAAGGGCTAATCAATCAGTCAATAATGTAATGTAATGAAAGAAAAAGGCACCAGCTTCTCTTTTAGCATAGTAGAAGATAACAACATGACAATCACAACTTTTTGCTTTTACACAACTGTATGTACAAGCCATTTCTATAACAATAAGTCTATCTAGTTAACAAAAACAAAATCAAAGTTTTTTTTCATTGCAAGCGCAAATTCTGGAAGCAATTTCAGAATAGATTCAGAAGAGAAACAAGGTTAGATATATTCTCGTCTTTGGGTAAAAGAACCAATTTGACCATTTCTGCTTCTCTTTGCCATGGGGAGTAATATATGATCCTGTTAACTATAATTAATCTTTATCATAATTTATAGTAAGAAAATCTTCTATGCTATTTAATTTTTTTAAATCTAAAGAGAGAAAACACTTTTTTAATTTTGATATTTTACTAACTTTAAAAAGTAATCAATATTATACATAAAGGAGAAAAAAGAAAACCCTTCCTTTTAAACCGAGAACCCAAAACACAATACTACATTAGAGCTTTCATTCAATTGTATACATCATACCAATATAAGTCCAATTGACTCCAATTAGCTCATTGAATTTGAATCTCTCCCTCAAGTTTAACCTCATGGAATGGATTTTTTCCTTCTCGTATTTTCAAATTTAATAAAATAGTATTTTAAAAATTTTGGAAATTATTCAGCATTATGTAAAAAGACAGGACATACATTTATAAACTCATTTTATACATACAAAACTAACTGAAAGCTTTCTTTCAGTGTATATATATATACACTGAATATATACATATACATATACATATACATATACATATACATATACATATACATATACATACATACATACATACATACATACATACATACATACATATATATATACATATATATATATATATATATATATATATATATATATATATA